AGGAAGATCTCAAACTGAATGAAAACAAAAAACCCAAAAAGATAATCAGCATTATAGACTGAACTGTGTTCCTCTCAAAACATTTGTTGAAGTCCTAACCTCCAGTACCACAGAATGTGACCTTATTTAGAATAAGGTCTTTGAAGAAGTAATTAGTCAAGATGAGGTCATAGTGGAGTAGGGTAGGTCCTTAATCCAATATGACATTTTCTTTATAAAAAGAGACACAGAGACAGACAGATACACAGAATGGCATGTGGAGACAAAGGCAGAGGTTGGAACGGTGCATGTACAAGTCAAGGAATGCCAGGGTTGCCAGCTGTCAGCAGAAGCTAGCAGACGCCTGGAACAGAGGCTCCCTCAGAGCCCTCGGAAGGACCCAACCTTGCCAATACCCTGATCTCAGACTTCCAGCCTCCAGAACCATGAGAGAATTCCCGTCGTGTTTAGCTACCCAGTTTGTGGTACTTTGCAACAGCCCTAGGAAACAAATACAGATGGTAACACTGATATAACAGATATGCTGGAACTGGCTGACCAGTATTTCAAATCAGTCATCATAACAATACTTCAATGAGCAATTACAAACACAATGGAAATAGAATAGGCAGATACATAGACACAGAAATTAGGTAAGTGATTGCCTGGGGTTGGGAAGAGGACAGGTGAGGTCGGGAGAAGAGAAATGGGGAGTGACTGCTGACAGTTATGGAGGTTCTTTTTATGTGATGAGAATAATCTAAAATTGTTGTGATGGTTGCAAAGCTCAGTGAACCTACTAAGAACCATTGACTCATACACTTTTAAATGGGCAAGTTGTATGACATGTGAAGTATATCTCAAAAATAAAGCTTTTTAAAATACACACACAATGGAAAAAATGAAAAAAAATAGAAAGTCTCAGCAAAGAAATAGAAAGTCTCAAAAAAGAAATAGAAGATATAAAAATAAGAACCAAGTGGAAAGTTTAGAATTGAACATAGAGTAACCAAAATAAAAGACTCAATGGATGGAATCAATAACAGCATGAAGGAGATAGAGGAAATCATCAGGACGTGAATACAGAGCAATATAAATTACCCAATGTGAACAACAGAGTTAAAATACACTGAAAAAAAATTAACAGAACCTCAGGGGCCTGTGAAACTATAACGAAAGAACCAACATGCATGTCATCATAGTCCCAGAAGAATAGGCGAAAAAGGACGGGCTGAAAAATAACTTCTAAAATGGCTGAAAACTTGCCAAATTTGGCAAAAGATGTAAACCTCCATATCTGAGAAGCTGAATGAGCTCCAAATAGGGCACAGTCAAAGAATACACAGTTATATAAAGAAAGAATAATTCTTTCCTGTCTATCAATTTTACAACTCATTCCCCAAGATTGCCAATGCTAAGTCTGATGTGCATCCTCACTTCCCTTTCTCTGTTCATAGGTAAACACAGGACGACAGGTTCGAGTTTTGGCTTTACTTTGTTTTGCTTTTCACAAATATATGATTATACCACTCACCTTACTTAGCAAACTGTTATACTTAACAATGTGCTACTATCCTTCCACAGAAATCTAACTCATTCTTTTTCACAGCTGCATAGTATTCCATACCATGGACGTGTCATAATTTAGTCAATTGCACTCTTATTTTGTACGTTTCAATATTGTGCCACTTCATCGTGCCAAACATTGGAGGAAAAAATGTTGTTGTTCTGCTGTCCTTAAGTACTGGCATTTTTACTTTTACGAATAGAGTACCCAAAAGGGGATGCTGGGTCAAAGGGTGTGTGAACTCTTCTGGTAACAATGGGAAAAATGGGAAAAGTCAATTTAATGTTTAATTATTAAAAAGTTTCTATTAAAAAGTTTCTATTTGGGAGATGTATCCAGAATTTAGAAGGACATCGAAAAAAGAAGACCTAGGGCAACGTGGCAGAGTCACAGAGAAACTGACACGAGAACTGGAGCCTGAGAGAGGAGTGGATGTTTGCCAGATGACGAGAGGTAAGTGTGGGAAGAGTGTGGCCTGGAGAAGACCATCACTGCTGATCAGAGGGACAGGGGTTGACCAGACATCCCAAGGGAAAGATGTGCCAGGGTGCTCCAGATGGAGGGAACACATAAAGGTGAGGAGAAACGCAAGAGAATTTGTCTGCTAATGTATTTGGAGTGTGTGTGTGTGTGTGTGTGTGTGTGTGTGTGTGTGTGTGTGTGTAAGCATGCATGCCTATGCTGGGATGGAGAGCAGCTTGGCAGGAAGAACAAAGATAAAGAGATCTGATTTACAGTAAACCCAACTGGGATTCATTGAAGGCTTTTTAAGCAGTAGAACAACATGGTCAAATCTATTTTAGAAAGATCCCTTAGGGGAAGGATATCATCAACAGAGGAGTCTGAGGTTGGGGATTCACTCCAAAAAAGGATGCATTTACAAAGGCACATGAACCCTTGCAAGGCAGCTCGCGACGGGAGGGCTAGAAAGCTGGGTCGCCAGAGCGTGGTGAGGACAAGCAGCTCAGTATAAGTGTCCCCGAGGCCTTTGCTAGCAAGCTCCAGAGTCCATGGGCCCAGAGCATCCACACGAACTGTGGACAAACAGGGCTCACCAATGTCAAATGTGTTTATCCACCTGAATCAAGGTTAGCTCGGCAGTCACACCTTGCAGCCTTCACTGACCATTCCAATCTAGCATTTGGATCACCCCCTGAAACGCCCAGCCTATGGTTACAGACTTTTGTAAGCATGTCCACATCCTGCATTGCACTGCCCAACTTCACTGAAACTCCCCCAAAGCAGGGCCCCAACTTGGCCATCCATGTCCCCGAAGAGCTGGAATTGCGCTCCAACCCACTGGGGTTAAGTACATAAGCACTGATGAGTTGACAGGCTGCTTGTTGATTGACTGATTCTCACTCAAGTTGCCTGAAGTTTAATGGTTTCAAAATTGAAGAGGGCACGAATTGGGCTTTCCCCCTCACTCCCCACTCCCTTCCTTTGCAGAAAATATCCTAAAAATAAAATGAAGATGCCAGGACTGCCATCCTCCCAATTTGAGAAGAAAATTCTTAGCTTCTTTCCAATACGTTATCTTTTGCATATAAAGACAATGCTCCCAACCTGTCCATTTTCTCAAATTGGAGGAAACAGCTCTGAATTCTATTCAAAGCAGGTAACTTGGCCCCATATAGTCATCTGAGATCTCACAGGTTTGTGACCTAACCTGCAGGGGTCACTAGGGGCCAGAGGATATCTCGGGGCTGCCTGTGGAGAGACTGGGGCTCCTTTGGTAGACAGGACCGGGCCAGGCGCGGTGGCTCACGCCTGTAATCCTATCACTTTGAGAGGCTGAGGCAGGTGGATCACCTGAGGTTGGGAGTTCGAGACTAGCCTGGCCAATATGATGAAACCCCCATCTCTACTAAAAATTAGCCGGGCATAGTGGTGGGCGCCTGTAATCCCAGCTACTCAGGAGGCTGAGGCAGGAGAACGGCTTGAACCTGGGAGGCAGAGGTTGCAGTGAACCAAGATTGCGCTGCTGCAGTCCAGCCTGGGTGACAGAGTGAGACTCCATCTCTCAAAAAAATGATAATAATAATTAATTTTAAAAAATTTTAGAAAGCTAGCCAGGACCAAGGTCCTCACTGAGGCCAGGGTCAGGGCTCAGCCTGCAGCATCCTCAGAAGCAGCAATCTGGGCATCCTCAGCCCCAGAATCTTCCCACAGACTCAGGAGACCCAGTCCAGGTCAGATGTTCTCAGCTCCTCAGTTATTCATGTGCAGAACAGACCTGCCTGTCACTGGAGCTGCCTCTGGGTCCCCACTACAGAGCAGTCTGGCCAGCCCCGCCTCCCTCTCAGAAGTCGGTTTCATATCCTGCCCTGGCACCTTCTCCCAGGGAGTGCTCTGAGGGTGTGCTGGAGACTGGTGGCTCACATCACCGTCACGATGACGCGGCAACCCAGACAGCTCCTCCACCGTGTGGTCTCTCTCTCCATCTGGGTCCATGGGTTGCCTTTCAAAATTAAATCAAGAAACTAAGGAAAATGAATTTAAAAAGCACTGGGCTGACTGGTTTTCCTACTGAGGGCTTCGGAAACCAGCCACCTAGAAGTCCATTTATGCAAAACCATAAGTAACCTTTCATCCAGCCATAGCCACGCCCTGTCGGGAATTCTCAGGGCTGCTGGGTCCTGGAAGATGATCTTCTAAAGGCAGGGACAGGGAGAGAGAAGGCATTGAGTGGAGCAAGTAGACCTGGGGAGAGGATTTGGTCCCCTGGGAGTGAGGGAAATGTGCCCCTGTTTTAACCAAAGACGGAAGAAACAGCAGACTTCGGCCATGCTGAAGATTCCTTTGACAGCCAGATGCAGGCTTCTTCATGTGGCCTGTGGCCAGAGAAAGAGTGTTATCCTCCTGGTGAGCGAATACATTTTGTACTAACTGAATCTCATTGCAGCAGAATCTTCCTGGCTTTCTAAAAATCTAATAGTGTTGCCAACGGAAAACCTCCTTCAGACAGCAGCTCTGTGGATCGGGAGCAGCGGGAGGAGGACAGACATTGAGGGGACGTTTTCCAGCTAAGAATGGTTTTTACATTTTTAAACGGTTGCAACAAAAGGAAGAAGGGGGAGGAGAAGGAGGAAGGGGAGGGGGAAAAAAGAGGAAGAAGGTCATATATGACCCTCAAAGCCTAAAATATTTACTCTGTGACTCTTTACAGAAAAACTTTACTGATCCCTAGTCTAAAGCAAAGGACTTGAATTTCAATCACGGTCCACAAATTTTGGTGTGAAAAAACAAAATTCTTTGCAACTTTTTTTTTATTTCAAGCTTCTGCTAGGGTGGCATAAACCAATCTCAGTCAAGTTGGGGACCCCCTCCTTTCCCTGGGGTTGTGGCCACGTTCCTATATAGCTCAAAGTCAATCAGGTGCTCAATGTCATCTGTCCACATGAGCATCCCCTGAGATGCCCATCATCCTCTCTGCCCCTTGCAGGTCTCTCACCTGTCTTTCAGGTCTTCAAGCTCCCTCCTGTATTTCTGCAGCTTGTCCGAAAACCCAGCATTCCTTCAGCTGCTTCTGCACCACAACAGAGAACAGGATTTTTACAGATAGACCATGGCCCCATCTTGTCGATAACCTCTTTCTCTAAGCTTCCCTGGGGTTCCCCTCAGAGAGTGGGGCACGGGTCCTCTCTGCTCCCAGATCCCGCAAACTTCTCTTGGATCATTCTGCCTCCCCAGGGCTCTGCCCAGGAGGTAGGGACCAGATTGCTCCCCCTGGGACACACAGGGAACTATACTCTCAACTTTTCCTCCACTCCTGTGTTCTTTTCTTCCCTTAGCGTTTGGAATCTTTGCTCTTCCAAGAGTAACCCAGATGGTGGTTACTCTTCTCAGTCTCCCGGTCTTAAACATTTTTGTCTGACTGTTCAAAGGAGCTTTTTGTTCTGTCTAATACTGTTATTTTAGAACATAAAATTCAGAAGGAGAATTCACAACCCTTTCCTTTCTGACATACCCCTTCTCTGAAGGAATGAGTACAGAATGATCAGACTGCTCAGAATTGGAGAGAAGGCTATGCTGGAGGAGAGAAAGGTCTGCGATATTTCACAACTATTTTTTCCATCATGCTAAGCTGTTCATTTGTAATTGACTTATTTACTTATACCAAGCTGACTATACAGCCAGCTTACATTGGCTCTCAAGAACCAATTGTTGAATTTTCAGAAAAGTTACAAGCTGATTGTTAAACCATTGCTAGCTGAAATTGGCCACAATAGGAGCATTTATACCACAAAAAGTGATGAACATACAAAGCCAGGCATCTCCTGGCCTACCTCCAAAAGAGCAGTTGTTAACATTTACTAGCACACCACTGCTCATACCCACCTCTTTCCAAAAGGATTGCAGGTAGATTTTCCAAGTGCAGTGTGTCTGAGATGTTAATCACTGCCAATCCCACTCATTCTCATTCTAATTAGATCTTTTCTACTCACAGTTTCTGCTGAATAAGCAGCTATGTTTCCTACCCCACGAACCTCCTCACCTTAGCCCACATATAGCCCTGGCTAACTGGCCTGTGGTGGGCACCTGGCGGGATACCAGACAGTCCCTAGGAGGGCCAGAAAACCAGGTCTTGGAGACCTTGGCTCAAAAAAGATGAGGCTGTGTAGCATTCAGTGTATGAGCCGCCCCAGATCTGCACATTTGATTTCTAACTGGAATGGCTGGAGGCGTGGCTTGTCCCATTCCTGTGGTCTTACAGTCGAGTCACAGTCACTGTCAGGTTGCTGTGGGAGGTTGCTGTACCCCTGCAGCAGCCTGGGGACTTGCTCAAAACCCTCATCGCCACCTCACCCCATGCCTGCTCTTGCCTCCCACCTCAGGATGTCCTTGTTGCTGTGGAGACAAGAGACACCAGGGGACCCAGGTGAAGCTCACATTACAAACAACCCAGAAATGTGAGGAATTAACATCCCTTGGAGCAAATTTTAACCAGAAGGATATGGGAGCCCACAGGTAAATTCTTACCCTTCCTCCCCTAAGAGTCCAGCCTAGATCAGTGCTTCTCAGTCTCAGCACTGCTGACATCGTGGACCAGATGATTCTTTGTTCAGAGCCGGAGATGCTGTGCCCTGGAGGATGTTTAGCAGCATCTCTGGCCTCTGCCCACAATATCACCCAATGCCACTGTCCTCCTCCTAGACATGGCCATCAGAAATGTCTCTAGATGTTGTCCAGTGTTCCCTGGGGAGCAAAATCACCCCTGACTGAGAACCATCAGCCTGGACAGACCAGAGATGCTGCAGTTTCACATGGCCCCTCTGAAGATGTCATGCAATGCCGAGAAATCAGCTGTTAGGCAGCTGCAGCCAGCTTAGCACCACACTCTCCTGCATTTGCTCTCCCTTGTTTCCGCCTCACTCCCTCTTCCCCTCACCCCTGCTTCGCTGAGACTGCACTTCCCAATAACATGTAAGCTTTTGCCTCCAGTTCTGTTTTCTAGAGAACCTGGGCTAAGGCGCTTGCGAATTCGATTTCATCGCAAGAATGTGAACTAAGAGACCCAGAGGAACGTTGCCACGTAGTGGTGGAGGCTGCAGCTGGAAGGAACTGTCGTGCTGGGGCGGAAAAGAGGGGTGCGGGAGACAGGAGTGAGCACAAGGCGGAATAAGTCTGCAAGAAAGAGAACAGGACAGAAGCACCGAGAAGCAGACCCGCTGAGAGAGTGAGAGCAAGCGTGGGAAGGAACACGGATCCCTCTTTTACCCTCATGAAAACCCTGTGCTTGAGTTCGATTAAGTGGGTCTCTATCGCTTACAATAACAGAACCACTGAAAGTTCTGGAAACACCCTAATTCCCCACGGAGCTCATACAAAGCTGATTTCAGCCCAATTTAAGGAATAACATTTTAACAATTAAGGACGTTCTCTTATGGAATGGGGAGATGCAGGACAAGGGACAATGAGCTTCGCCTCCCCCACTGGGCTCATTCCCAAAGGAAGTGGACAGCCAGCCTCCCGTCAGAAACACGGCAGAGCGGTCAGGCGTGGTGGCTCACACCTGTCATCCCAGCACTTTGGGAGGCCAAGGCGGGAGGATTGCTTGAGCCTAGGAATTTGAGACCAGCCTGGGCATTATAGCAAGGCCTCGTCTCTGCACAAAATTTTAAAATTAGCAAAGTATGGTGATGCACACCTATAAACCCAGCTACTCGGGAGGCTGAGGTGGGAGGATCACTCCAGCCTGGCAGTTTGTGGTTACAGTGAGCTATAACTGGGTGACAGCCTGGGTGACAGAGCAAGACCCTGTCTCAAAAAAAAAAAAAAAGAAAGAAATATGGCAGAGAATGTGCTCTCACACTTGAGGACCTGGGAGAGCTATTTGGGTGCCCTCTACAGTTCCCCCCTCCCCACCTGACTATGAACTTCCCTGATTCCTGAACTTAGATTCGGAAAAACTGGGTTTTCGATCCTGATTCTCTGGTCACCTTGCTGTGTACCCCTAAGCAAACCCCCGCCTTCAAATCTAGGTCTTGTTTTTCTCATCTGTATAGAAAGAGGTTTAATGCCATGCTTGTCGAAACTTTGAAAAACATGACGTTGACATGACGGATGTCAGAACCCAGAGCCCAAGTAATAACACCAGGTAAGAATGTAAGGAAATTGGCCAGGCACAGTGGCTCACGCCTGTAATCTCAGCACTTTGGAGGCCGAGGCAGGTGGATCACCTGAAGTCAGAAGTTCGAGACCAACCTGGCCAACACAGTGAAACTCCATCTCTACTAAAAATACAAAAATTAGTTGGGTATGGTGGCGGGCACCTGTAGTCCCAGATACTTGGGAGGCTGAGGCACTTGAACCCGGGAGGCAGAGGTTCCAGTGAGCCGAGACGGCGCCACTGCACTCCAGCTTGGACGACAGAGCAAGACTCAGTCTCAAAAAAAAAAAAAAAAAGGTAAGGAAGTCTATGAAGAGCAAAGTAAAGACCTACCCTTGAGTGCAGAAATCTGGCTATGTTGGCACGGGATGTAAAGAACATGATTCATGCATCAACAGGCATAGAAAATAATTGAGAAAATAATAGTGAACTCTAATTTCATGGAATTAGCAGTGTGATATGGTTACCAAGAAATAAATGCTATCTGGACCACATCAATAGAAGCATGGGGTCCAGAATATGGGTGATGGCCATGTCACTCTCCTTTACACTGCTCCAGACTCATCTGAGGTACTGAGTCCCCCACACTCTCAAAGGGACATATGTGGTCAACCAGGCTTGGTCAAAGGAGGGTGGCCTAAGGTAAATGAACAACCAGAATCCACTGTGTTGGAGGGACACTCAGTGGAGCTAGGAGTGGTCCTCCCGGGGGAGGGAAGATTTGGGGGAACAGGAGCACCAGTTTCAAGAATCAGAAGGGCTGTCATAAGTTAGAGGGAACTTACTTCAGCATGGCCCAGTTATCCAGACCTAGTTCAAGGAACTCAAATGGGTAGAAGCTACTGGAAGATCAATCACAACTAAACCCGGGGCAGGGTTTTCCCCATGCTCATACTGAGAGTTGGATGGGTTCTGCCGGGCCCAGATGGAAACAATGATCGTGATTGTAATAGCAACTTATTAAGTGTTTTCTGCATGCTGAGGACTCTACACATATTTCGTCTTTACAACAACCCTAGGAGGCAAGTAATAGCATCTCTAAGCTACGGTAAAGAAAACTGCAGCTTGGAGATATAGGAATCTGGGAAGACCTAGGAATCAAGGCCCTAGGAACTGACTCCAAAGCCTGTCCTTAAATACTGTTGAACAGGAGATGCTGGTGGAGAAGACAGAGCTTCAGCTGAGAGCATAGTAATGATAACAGCCAACATTTGCACAGCATGGGCTGGGCCCCTATTCTGGGTGTTTTGCATATGTCAGCAACATAAATCACAACACTTTAAGACACCATTTTCATCTACAGGAGGGGAAACAAACAAGGCAAATTTAAGTAACTTGTCCAAGGTCACTGATTCATAAATAGTAGAACTGGGATGCTCTTAACTGCTATACTACCCTGCCTCCCACCTGAGCTAGAAGTAGGTTTCTTTTTTGGTGGCTTCTGGATTCAGCACCTGTTACTTCCCACACAGGAGTCTCAGAGACAAACCCTTTTCCCCATGGCTTACCACAGAAACTCTTGCCAAAATTACAATTTGATGGTGGATGCCCTCGGCCCCTGTAGTAGCTGGGTTTCATTTCTTCCCAGTTCTATCTCATCTGACAGGCACCCTGATTCTCAGGGGTGGTGGACACTGTCCTCAGATAAAGGCACCAGCCATATCACCAGCCCGTCCTGAGCCCCAGCCCCTGAAACCCGGCTCTGCCTCTCAGCCACTTCACTCGAGTCTCCGACAAGGGCAGCTATTTTGGGTGAGAAATGGGGCAGGCAGAAAAAATTTCATTCAAGTAATTAAAGAATCACTGCATTTTTCATGATTAACTTCATGTGCGCAGATTGAATGCAAAAAGCTGTTAGCAGAGCATTTCTGTTTCTGTACCTGACATGAGCAATGGGAATATTTGTTCTGCCCGGG